AGAGCCAGAAAAGTCTAGCAAGCGAGGAATTTGATGAGTTGGAAAGCGAGAGACAGCGAAGGAGAGAGAGCGAGAGAGAAAATGAGAGAGAGAGAAACAGCGAGAGACAGAGAGACAAAACAAACATTCAATTCCTATTAAAATTCCAAAATCAACCCTCGACCCCATTCCTTTTTTGGCATCACGCCAAAACTGGGGGCCAGGAAGAAGAAATGTGATCGGAGTGGACGAGACTGGAAGGGGGGATCTGAAAGTCTACACATGAAAAGAGAAGAGCCAAAAAGGGGGAGGGGCGAACGGAACATTCGGGCGGGACTTGGCTCTGCCCCCCTTTTCTACCCTTTTTTTTGTTAAGGCCGCCTGGCAGACGGCCAAATGACGATTCGAAAGGGCTGAAAAGGCCCCGCCTCTCTCTCGCTCTCGCTGCCTGTTTACTCTTTTTCTCTAATCAAAAAATGGGCCCCCATCTATCGCCCAGCCAGCCGTCTGGCCGCCCCTCAAAGCCAGTGTTTCGAGAAACGAATTTCGTAATATTGCCCAGAAAATGTTAAAAGGGGCTTCTTAAAAGAGAGACCATGGGGAGAAAATTCTTTCCGGATATAGGGCAATGCAAACTAGCAGAGATCTTTGGTGATAGGGGCAGCTATCAGGAACACTTTGAAGAATCAGAGGAAAAGCTGGCAGAGATATTTGAGGAAATTGAAAAAGAGGTAAGCGTGGCAAACTAGCAGAAACAATTTGCTGAAAAGCGTGAGGACGAGAAGGCAGTCTAGCAGAGATCATTTGAGAAGAAGCCGGCAGCCTAGCAGAAACACCTTGTGGAAGGAAGCTAGTTACCAGAGAAAAAGGTAAGCTAGCAGGATTCTTTGAGGAAAAGTCGGCGTCTAGAAAAGTGGATGAACTAGCAGATTTCATTTGGGAATACTTTAAAGGGAGAGTGCCAGCAATAAATTGCTTCAAAAGTCTCGGTAATTCTACTAAAAATAACCGCAACCGGGATGGCCATTCATTCGAGGGGCACCTCGGTGATTTACATAAGTGAAAGCCGACGGGGGTCTCGATTTTTTGGAGGGTATATGAAACGTGACATATAGTATGTGAAACGGGACACCCTGAAAACAACCGGCTTATCGCCCTTTTCGACATGGAAGAGAGGCCATCGCAACAATTTTAATTTTTGGGGGTAAATTTTGGAGATTCCTAAATAGGTCACTATAGGTCACTATAGGTCACTGCTAGCTTGCCCTGAAAAATTTTTTTTGTCAATGAATCTTTGCTAGTCTGCCGATTTCCTCAAAGGAGTCTGGTTTTCTCAAGAGACCATTGCTAGCCTACCGATGTCAAATCTCAAAGATCTCAAAGAATCTCTGCTCGTTTGCATCCAATTTCCTCAAACGATTTTTGCCAGGCCCTCCATCCAATTGCTCAAAAGATCTCTGCTAGCCTGCCTCTCGCTTCCGCAAAGAATAACTGCTAGCTTGCCTCTCGTTTTCACAAAGTATCACTGCTATGAGACCTCCAAGAAACCAAAAACACATCCATTCAAATCTCCTCGAAATCCTCCCACCACCTTTTTCAAGTCCGCCATTTTACAATTGACAGGTTTCACGGGAAGCCTCGTAGCGTGGCGGAACAAAATTTTGAGAGAGAGAGAGACAGAGAGAGAGAGAAAAATCTCTTCTACAGTACCCCTCATTTGCTGAGTAATCCCCCCGAGTATTCCCCTCCCTAATTGTCACCCATCCCACCCCGTACTTGTCTTCAATTTGAAAATCGGCCTTCCGAAAAAGATCCCAAAAATTCTTACTGTACCCCCGGCAATAAAAGAAAATACGTTGGGCTCCAAAAGACAGCTGCCCGGAATGCCGCCTCCCCCTCCGGCCGACAATATGCAATTAATTTTTAGGCTTTAGGCTCTGGGGCCAACATTTTTTTTTGCTGGGCGGTCACCGGAATTAGTCATGTTGTGTCGGGAGTACCGAGGAGCTGAGATCGGAAATTGGAAGTTTCGTAAAAAATTGAAAGTCTGGAAAATAATAAATCCTACCGTAAACCAAGCGTAGGAATTTTTAAAGGGCCTTTATTTTTTAATTTTTAATTTTTTGCTCTTCGACGATTACGACTACGACGATTTTTAATTTTTAAAAGAAGGCTAATATCCACAATATAGTACTAGCGGTATAAAAAGTAGCCGCCGAAAATCTACCGTGATCTCTTAAAAGGTGTTTTAAAAAGCCATGGAAAAAGAAGAACTCTAAACAGCTCTGCTCAATTTCTTTTATTCACCAAAAGTTGCAGATTATAGCAATTCAACGTTTCCTAAAAGTTGGCCCAGCTACCGTAGCGCGGCCGGCCAGACAGCCCACCGCAATTAACGCCTGGGAATCCAGGCTTTCCCATTCAGGGTTTTTCTGCTAAGTTTTTCCGGTAATCTTTTCCGGCGGCGGAGCACGTAGCCAGGTGGTAGACTTTTCATCTCGAAAAATCAACTTTTTTGCCCGGTTTCTACATTGTGCAAATTGGAGCGGCGCGTAATTGGGGACAGAAAATTGGGAGGCTACGTGTCAGACGTGTTAATTCAAGGCGTAGAAAAATACGCTTCACTCCTAGATACATCAAAAAACTGCAGAAAACGTCGTTGTACGCTACGCTTCGCAGAAATACGCAAGGAAAAGTACGAGAAAGTAGGATACGACAGTCCCCAATTCGCTACAATACATTACAGTACACTACCGTACGCAACAATGCGCGAAGCTGCGCAACAGTACGCCATCGTACAATATTTTCACACCGTAATCGATGCAACGCTTCCTGGCACTATCCCTTGAAAACGTTCTCTGACTCATTGCTTAATTTTTGAATTCTCTTGCTCCTGAAAACCCAGCCATGGCCCCCAATTAGAAGCAGACGTCAAGCTCCTGTCTCTCTTTCGCTCTCTCTCTCTCACCAGGGCCCAGGGGAGGGCGAAACTTCATGAATGGCATATCTCAACGCGTCTCAATATCAAACATTCTCTCCCCTTAAATCCCCATAGCAACATTCAGACATCTATCCACTTTTCGGGTGGGAGAGAGAGCGAGAGAGAGAGAGAGAGAGAGAGAGAGAGAGAGACACTCCACGTCAGCCCTAATCCCATCAACGCCCTGAAAAAGGCTGCGACCCCCTGGGGTGGGCCCCAAGAAAAAGGCAGCAAAAAACGGCTAGGGCCCAGCAATGGGATTGTAGTCAAGAACGGAAATTCACCGGGAAATCAGAGGAGGGGCAGAGGGGATACGGTAGATGGGGAGGCTGGAAAAATCGGCTGGCGAACTTTTCAGCCGGACCAGTCGGGTTCAATGTTCCAGGGTAGCGGGGATAAACTTGGCCCAGGTTTAGGTGGTTTAAAAGGTTTTATAACAAGAAAATAACCATAATAATATGAGAAGCTTGTTAATAATTTTTTTTACAATATTTAAAATGGCCTAAATGCGATTCTAGGATAGGATAAGAGATAAATCTATAAGCAAAAAAATTAAAAATACGCCAAAAAGCAAATAAATTCGCTTCAAATTTGCGGTCTTTTAAAGGCTTTTAGATTCTTAGGGCTTCATACTTATTTCTTTTGTTATAACGTAATATGACCCCAATTTCAACACTCTAAAACTTATAAAGTTACGAATTATTTGCAAAACATCCAAAATCAATTTTTAAAGCCAAAATTTTTTTCAAAGTCCAGCGAGGCCATCAATTATAATTCTATAAAATGCACTAGACAACGCTAGCTTACAAAAATCCACAACACTGAAAAAATGCGAAAATTCCGAAATACCGACCTGGATAGGGCTGTGCGCAGGCGGGGGCTGGACATTCCGGTGTGAAGGACGATTGCTCGGGATACCGTGTGTCGATTTCATCAGGCCGACAGCAGATTCTGAATTTAAAATGTGAGTAAATCTTTCTTTCTCCAGCTCGTCCTCTCTCTCTCCCTATCGCTCTCTCTCTCTCTCTCTCTCTCTCTCTCTCTCTCCCTCTCTCTCTGTCTGCGATATCACTCTCGCTCTCTCTACCACTCGCTTTCGGGGTAAGTATCTCTGTCTGTCTGTCTCTCTCTCTCTCTCTCTCTCTCTCTCTCCTCTCTCGTTCTACTTCAGAAAACCTTTCCATATTCCATAAAGTCCCTCTCCTTCTCCCTAATCTTCCTGGGAATAAAGGCGTTCCTGTCTGTCCTCCTCCCCTCCTAGAGTACACAACCATACTAATCCCTCCGATACAAACAACAGCCCATCCGTTGGGAGAAGCCGAACCGATTTTTGGACATTGCAACCTCTCCCCCTGGGAACCCGTTTTGCAAAAATCACCCATTCCCAGAAATTTTGCATGAGAATTTGCGAAGAAACGGGAAGCGATCTTTGCGATTTGCTGAATGGGAAATTGGAAAGTGCCTAAAGGGGAAGAAGTATTATAGCTTCCTGTGAGGTATCGTGACGGAGTGTAGCGGTGCTTTGGCATTATCGGGGGAGGGGACGTTTTTCTGGAGGAGAGATCGGAATTTTGTAAGTGTAAAGGCCTCCGTGATAGAGGTAGCTTAATAGTGCTTTTAGTAAAACTTCTAAAACAGTAAAGTTTTTTTAACAAAGTTTCAAAGCTTTTTAAACTTTGTATCTGCATTTTTTGTCTTTTAGCACATAAAATAGTAAAACTTAGGAATTTTTCATTGTTAAATTAGCCAATAACCTTCAAAAAAATTTAAAAATTAGAAATTTTCGTATAAAAATCGGTCCAAAAATCTCATTTTTTTTGGTTTTCTAGTGTCGAGTTCTAAAGTTTCTAAAAAGTTGGTATTCCTCCCCTCCCCCGATAATGCAAAAGCACCCGATAAAATTTGTCCTGCTACACCCTGCTGACACGCTCCCTTTAAATGCATAATCTTTGAGGCCTCCCTAATTACCCGCTAACTTTTTCTTGATGTTTTCGATCATAGGGGGTGGGTTGTTGGCCTGTATTCAGGAGATGATCAATCATTCTACCCCCGAATTCGCCCGAACGATGATGACAAATAAAAAGCGATGGATGACATGGATTAGAGGCGACAACCCCCAGAAATGGATCAAGATTAACGGCGAGAGACTGAAAATCCCGAAAAACTCACCGCTGGTCGTGCGATTTCTTGAAACCCGGGGACGCTGCCCGACTTCGTGCATCTGGAAATGGGACTTGTGAAATTTTAGGTATCCTTAGGTTAGCTACGCAACGCTACTATAAGTAGCGCGAAAAACCTCCGGAACGCTACGTAACGCTACGGAACGTTACGCAACGCAACGCTACGCAACGCAACGCAACGCTACGCAACGCTACGCTGTGCAACGTTACTAGTTACGCGATGTTATAAAATGCAAAGCAACGGAACGCTACGCTTAGTGGCGTTATAAAAAGCTGCGAAATGGAACGGAAAGTGAAATAACCTCAGGAGAGCTACGCTACACAATTCAACACACAGCTGATAAGTTACCTAAAGCGTACCACAAAAAATCAAGTAAAATAACGCGACGCACGGGTACGCACCACTACGGGTCGTAACGCTACGATACGCGTGGCTAAAGCTGATGAACGAACCAAGTAACTAAAAAAGACAAAATTTTAGCGTCAAGTTTGATTCCGTGAGGCTACTTTAGAATACGCGATATTACGGTTCGAGTAAACCTACGTACGTTACGCTACGTCACGCTACGCAAAGCCAAGTAAGTGCAACTCGTACTTGAAACAAATGTTTTGACGACTAACCTCATGATGAAGCGGCATCGGGCGGTCGCCGAGTTGATCAAGTCGTAGCCCAGGACGAACTTGGCGCATTGGTCCGCCGCCCTGAAAACGGTTTTTTGAAAAATAAACAAATCTTATAGATTGATTTCACTTATTGGCTTGATTTAAACCGTAATTTAGCGTATTAAAAATCATCAAATAAAAAGTACTTTTGCTGATAATTGACTATTTTACCGGTTAGAAGTTATGTTTTAAGCAGCTTATCGCAAAATCCAAAAATACTCAAAACAAACCATAAAATTGTTTCAATTTTGAAATAACTGAATGGATTAATTTACCGCCTCTAAAATTAGAAACAAGCTTTTAAGAAACAATGTAAAATAGCCAAAACTTTACACGTAAAAGATAATAAAAACGAAAATTTTAGTGCAGAAAAAAAATCAATAAATCCACAGAAAATACTAAAATCCAATGAAAAGTTCTCCAAACCTGATTCTGAAAGTTCATCCCCGGGTGTTGCTCCATTTTTGTAAAAAGTAGTTGTTCTTCGCTTTCCTGAACGTCTTCAAGTTCTCGAAAATCAATGGAAATTGTAGAATGCAAGTAAAAAAGTAGCTGATCGGAGGGCTAGATTGAGCGGATGTTTTTTGGCGGGTCGAGTTCAGCTAGTAGTCTATCCCCACCCAGGGCCGGGGCATAAAAGATAGGGCGAATGGGGGAGAGTGTGGAGACGTTGAGAGTGATGCCTCTCTCTTTCTCTTTCTCTCTCTTTTGTCTCGGGTTTTTTCTTGGGTATGCTGGCTGGGTTGATTGGCGGGGTGGAAGAAGAAGAAGAAGCAAACACATTCAGGGCAACCAGTGTCTCTGTCTGCGTCTCTCCCTTTACTGTGCTCTCTCCCCTGTCTACCCTGCCATTCGTCTCTCTGCCAATGCCCAACCTGAGGGGTACGGTGGTTGGCGCGCGGTATTGGGGCAGGGGCCTGAACTTTCAGATAAATCGCGGATAAGGTTTTCAGGGATTTTAAATGCCTTTTCTTCGTCTGTATAAAACTTCATAAAACCGAGTTGTGAAAACGCGAGTCGGGTCTAAAACAGTTGAGTGAGGTCACGGAAGACGCTTGAAAAATGCCAAGAAAGCCAGAACAAAACTCTGAATTTAGAAAATCGAGAAGAACAGTCCCTTCGGCTCATCGAGAGCTACAGATACATACCTGAATCGTAAAAATCGTTCTAAAATAATAAAAATAAAAATCGTTGCGGGCCGCTAAAACTCTTCCTATACGAAGAAGTACTGTAATCCTTTGGATCTTACCGTATCATAGCGGGTTGTCAGGTGTCGTACCATTGCGTACTACAGTGCTACGTGTATGAGCGTAATACGGCAACTTGTACTGGGGCTTGGGTTGAGCGTAGGCTTAGGTTTTGACTTCCGTTTGGGCATGAGCTTGAGCTTGAGTTTAGGCGTCGGCTGAGCTTAGGGTTAGCTTAGGCTCAGCTTATTCGCATGGTGTACTGTACTGTATACTGTAGCTAAATGATCGTACTATAAAGTCTTCTATCACAAGGTACAGTTGCAGTCCTTAAATGTAATCAATTCTCTCAAAACGCCGATTTGAAGTTTTATGGCTCACCGAAATGTCAAGAATTCCCAAGTTATCTCCGCTGCATTGCCCTCTTCCAGTCGTTGAAACCACCAGATCCGCCAATGCCAAAACTAGCCACTTCTGTTGATGTCACCTGCCCCCCAATGGCAGAATCCACATCTTTCCGCCCACTTCACGCTAATTCGTCGCGGGACCACCTCCTGCCCTCCAAGCAAAACCCCCCACATTTGGCCCCCGACCATCACGCACACAAATTCCTACCAATGCAGCTGAAAAGCCTTGTCTTGCTTTGCGCTCTGGTTATCTTGGCTGTAGATGCGCGAGGGGATCGTGTAGCCAGGGTATGGTAGTTTTGAGGGTTTGATTATGCCTAAGCCCAAGCCCAGCCTAAGCCTAGACCCAGGCCAAGCCCAGGCCCAAGCCCGGGCCCAAGCCCAAGCGACAAGCCTGAGCTTAAGCGAAGCCCAAGCCTTAGCTCAAGCCTAAGCTTAAGCCCGAGCCCAAGCTGAACCTAAGTTTCCAGTTCTCATCCGGTTGGCCGTGCTCAAGCTCCCTGCTCGGATTCCATCAATGCGGGCTGGGCCGAGGAGTATCACAGGTGTGCTTTGTAGCTTGAGTTACGCCAAGCCAATGCCATATCAAGCTTAAGCCATGCCTGTGCCTGAGCCAAGCCCATAACCTTCCACTCACTTTAGACGGCCTCTTCATACGCTCGCAAGCCGGGCCCCGGATGGCGCGGCGGCCGCCGGATAACGCAATGGAATGTGGGTGCATTTTAAAGGGATGGTGCCAGGCGAACAAAATTATCTTTCATTCCTCCCCGATACCGTAACTTAAAATTTGGAAAGCTAGCAGAGAAAATGAAGGATTCCAATTTTAGGCTCGATTCCCGTTCGGCGACAGCTTCCGGCCGCCGATGGCCCGCTTTAACGGCTTCCAGAAGCGTGTCGACGACGCAGAATAAATTTTAGAAAATGACGATTGCTAATAAAGCTTGAATTTTGTTGGAGCACTTTAAAGGGATGGCGACAGCGCAATTTGTTCCTCTGGCTCTGTATCTCACACACACACTCTCTCTCTCTCGCTCTGTAGGTCTCTCCCTCACTTTCTCTCTCGCTCTCTGTCGTTCTCACTCTCCTTCTCACTCTTCCCAAATTGCCAATTTTCCAGAGGGCAACGCTCCCCAATTTGCATCCCGGAAGTTGGATTCGCCGGAAACAAGCGATTTTTGGTGAAATCCGGGAAAATATGATCATTTCCAGCGCGCTACCCTTCCGAACGCTCCAAGAGCAATGCACCGTGAGTGAAAAACATCCTAACTATGCAAATTTCGTAAAATCGGGTTGCCGCTTTTAGCTCGAGCTGAACGTCTTCAGAGTCTCGGCGCATTCATAGGCAGAGATACAACTGACACAGCTCATTACAAAAGAATTTTTACAGTACGGATTAATTAATGGCTGGAAGGATTTGATGAAGCTAAGGTCTAAACCAAGCTTGAGCCCAGGCTAAGCCTGAGCTAAGCCTGAGATAAGCCTAAGCTGATCCTAAGCTACGCCCAACCTAAGCCCAAACTAAGCTTCAGCTAAGCTAAGTTAAACCTAAGCCCAAACCGAGTTAAAACCTGGGCTACTCGATCCGTTTCAGTCCGCATCCATTGCCTGGTGCGCTGCCTGCAGTTGCTCACCGCCGTCACCCTGGTCTACGTACTGCTCGGTGTCGAGCACCTCGACGTGCCGCTGCGCGATGACAATCATCTGCATTTGGTGCCGCATTTTTTAATTTTTTTTACGGCTTGGATTTTTGCAAAAACTGGGAATTTTGTCGCAGGAACGGGCCGGTCCCTCGGCTGAGCGGGTGAGCGTCTTCAAGGTGTTGGTCGGCATCTCACTTAACGACCCCGAGACGAAGCATACCCACGCGTTGCCCGTCGACCTGAAGCGCCAGATTCCGGTATGCTCCGGTTACTGTAGCCGCATAAAAATCGGGTTTTAGCTGGCCGCCGACGACATGCTGGGCGTCAGCGATACGGTGCTCGCCTCCGCCACGTTGGTACGGTAGCTTATCCGCTTTTTGGAAAATCGAGTGGGCGAGGAAAACTATAACTCTAAGCTAAAAACCAAACCTAATCTTAAGCATCTATTTCCAGCCGGTCCGCTCGGCCGCCCTGATCGAGGTCGGCGACGCGCTGCTGCTCTTCCTCACCATCGTCTACGCCGAGATGAAGGACGTTAAAGTGAAGCCCGGGTACGGACCGAGACTTCTTGCTGTCGTTGGGCTGGTCGTGGAGAATCTTCAGAATCCACATTTTCTCCCTTTCCAGGGCTTCCATCTTGTGTGTGTGGCAATGCGGCGCGTGACGCTGCAATGGCCGCAGCGTGTGGCCTCCCTGTTCGGTCATCGGAGTATGTGGCAGGAGAACTGGCGCCTCCGCGGTGCCAACGCCATCCCTGAATACCCGGGAGCGTGGTGCAGCGCCATGGTGGGTGGGCAAATTGTCGTTGCTCGCTTGCCGCTGCCTCTGAAATTTCCCCACACCGCTAACAATCCAGTACACAGTAAATTTTAGTTCGTGCTCGGCGCGGCTGGACTTGTCGGGCTCGTCGAGCCGTTCTTCCACTCGTTCCTCGGCCACCTCGTCACGTTGACTGAGGGACCGACTGATGAGGTGGAATATGATGTGGGTTGAGCCATTTATCGCTCTCTCTCTCTCCCTCTCTCTCGCTCTCGCTCTCACTCTCACGCTCTCACTTCTTCAGATCGTCGTCCAAGGCGCGGCCCACATGTCCGCCTACCAACGTCTCGACGACCCGTACGCCGACGAGGCGAAGCAGTGAACAACTCCAGATACTTCTTCACCCCCACCGCCCTCTGATCATCACCAATCCAAGTCTCAAAACAACCCACACATCACTTGTATCAACTCCTTTGGGTCGCTCTGTTTTGGTGAATAAAAATATAAAATCGGTCGGTATGCGCGTGCACCGTTAAACCCCCCCCGATAAGGAACCAGAGCCGCAAAGAAAACCTCCCCTTCACGATCCCTTTAATCCAACCGCTTTATCTTTATCTCCACGTCCCCCGCCACCAATCTTTCCCCAAGGGTATGTGCTAGAGGCTGGAGAAGCCGAGACGGTGGCAGATATGGAGTGCCGATCCCCAGGGGACAGATTGGGGCCATGGACGTGGAGGGGGTGACGGGTGGGTAGGCACAGGGCCATACCTATGTGAAGCCATGTGTTCCTTTCAAAGCAAACATATTCTATAGTCAAGCCTAAGCCTAAACTAAGCCTAAGCTAAGCCTAAGTTAAGCCTAGGCCTAAGCTAAACCTAAGCCAAGCCTAAGCCTAAGCTAAGCCTAAGCCTAAGCCTAGACCTAAGCAGAGCTAAGTCTAAGCGAAGTCTTGAGTAAGTCCAAGCAGAGCTTCACCCAAAGCATAAGCCTAGCCAAGCCAAAGTATCGCCGTGGAATTTCCATACCTACAACCCCAAACAAAAAGGCCTCTATGCCTGAGCTCAATCTATCCATCCTCTAGCCCTCATCCTCCTCCTCCTCCTCCTCCTCCTTTCCCTTCACAACAAACAATCTCGTCGAGTGGATTGAGCCCCCGGGCTACTAACCAGCCGTGCCGAAAGACAGCCCGATTCGAAGATTCCCCCCTGCAATTCCTCAATTTCCTCTGCACCTCCTTCTCCTCCTCGCCCACTCACCCATTCGCCCACCCACCCGTCTTAACCCACTTCCGGACCCGCCATTTTTGAGGGTGTGCTCTTCGGCTAAACTTAGACTGAGGTCTCAGCCTGAGCTTCAGCATGAGCCGGAGCCTAGGCATGGGCCTGATCCTGATCCTGCCTACGCGTATGTCTAAATTTGAGCCCTAATCTAAGAAGGAGCCTGAGCATAAGCCCGAGCACCAGCCTGAACTTGAGCCTGAGCTAAAGCATGCTGCTGAGCATGAACCTGGACCCGAGCTGAAGCATATAACTCACGAAGCTTAAACCTCAGTCTCCAAACACGAGCTCGAGCATCTGCGAAGAGGAGCGTGTGCTTTTTTGCTGAGCTTGAACCACTGCCTAAGAGCGCGTCTAGTGAAGCTCAAACCTAAACCTCAGGCTAAGCCTTCGAATTTCCCCAAGCTCGTGCTCAACCTTAGCCTTTCGAGGCTTTCAACTGAACCTTCTAGCCATTTTCCCCCTCCGGAATCCTCTCTGATAACCTAACATTAGTGCGTGATACCGCGAAAATAGTATAATCTTTGCTGTGTAGCGCACCCCAATTTCCGGCCATAGATCTCTGCCCATAGGCGTGTCTCGGAATAGGGAGCCAAGCATTTGTCATCTTCATCCTCATCCTCAAGCCCATATTCTGCCAAGCCTCACCCCAAATATTCTCCTCAGAATGTCTTCAAAAACACGTTTTTTTCTTTTTATTTTTTTGAAAAAATTTATAAATCAAAAGGATATCGAAATCCTACTATATATAAAAAAGTAGTGTCTGTGTGTGTGTGTGTGCATTTGCATGCAACTTCCGTCAGGTTGTTCCAGTAGTATCTTAATAAGGGGAGTAGTTAAGGGCATGTTTGATACGTCATTATGTGCGTAATGCTCTGGGGATGACTGCACGCTAATAAAATTTTGAAAAATTATATGTATTCGACGTTAAAATTAAGTTTTTGTTGAAAAATCGGCCAGCCTCTTTGTTAGGAAACAATTAGAATACGCCGGAAGTTGCGGTAGCCTATATAAGGGAAGAGAAGTAGCGTTTCTCATTTTTGTGGTCGAAAATCGTGAGGATTATGCAAAGTGAAGAATATCATGGGATCACACGGAGCCAGGGTTGAAAAGTCGCGAAGCGGCTTTTCAACCCTGGTTTTTCCTAAATCGATTAAAATCTATTTTTAATGTTATCGTCCCTCGGGCCTAATTTGTTTTTCCCGCCCCTCACTTCCGGTCCACTTTTAAAGACCTCGCCAAGCAGATACTTTCAATTCAACTGGTCTCAAAATTTTGCAAGATTTCACTTGCGTATTTTAAAATTGTCGTCTAATCCCTGTACCCCAGCGCCTTAGTCGTCATCCATTTAATCCGGGGTATTTTTGCGCAAAGCTTTTGATTTTAGGCCTCTGCTTGTCTCTCTCAATCCTCTCACTCTCGCTCTCTCTCTCTCTCTCTCTCTCTCTCTCTCTATGTATCAATCTCGTCCAAATATAATAGCCCCCTGGCTCCTACTTGACTTCCGAGTATCGGCCCTTCGCCGTCAGCAGAGGTCATTTAAGATTATTGGAGTACGAAGGAACCCAAATAAAGGGGTATCTAGTAGAGATGTTACGCATACGAATACGATGTGCTACTTCCGGCAGATTAGCCCGATATGCATATCTGATTTGAGATAGAATGCCGGTAATTCGAATACGACGATCGTATTCGAACAAGCCCTCGGCTGGTTCGACGTGGTGATCTGGCAAGTCGGCTCACGTCGGGATAAAAAGCTAATTTCAAATTGAAGACGAAATACTGTGCAAATATCAAAATATTGACACATCCACCCGGAAATGACCGAGAATTGGCCCTAAATCTATTCAAATTATGCATATTCTGACTACTTGTTTCCATTTTCCGACCGTTTTCTTCGTAATATTGCTTTGCATTCCAATTAGCTTATTATCCCGATGTGACCCGTTTAAACGAATACGAACGTCGCATTCGCTTGGTTCCGGACCCTAATTCGAATACGATGATCGGGTCGGAATAAGAAATCTTCGATTCCGACGGCCTTCATTCGAATACGACGCGTAACACCCATGTCGTATTCGTATTCTCGTAACATCTCTAGTAATCTAGAAAAAGACGTTCCATGATTAGTCGCTCCCATTGGGCATCTATTCAAAGAATTCTCGAACCCTTCTGATTGCTCTATTATATTTTGCGCCGCCGGCTTTCTCTATCTCTCTCTCTCTCTCTCTC